GGCTTGATCCTTGGCGCTTTTGTGTTGGGATGGTAAAGGACTGCTGGCTTCATAAACATGGATCTTGCAAATTTGACTTCTGAATTTTGATCAGTGTGTAGTCATCCCAGTTTTGAGTCCTATTTTCCCAGCACAGTTTTCCTTTCCTCATCAAGCCCCGAGGGATTCAAGTATAGGTGTGTTTTAATGATGTCGACACGTGTCTATTAGTGAGTGTGGCTGGGATTAATGAATCATTTCACATAACTTAGCAAACTGCTATCCAGCTGTTTTCATCACTGCCTTGGGCTTCAGTCCAACTTCTGACATAAAGGTAAAACCCTCTGTATCCTGTTACAGTTGCCTGGGCTGCAAGTTGCTTGAGTGAACTTTTTTACTAATAGACTGAAAAAAAGGTAGAATACTCAGCAAATAATGCTTTCCAGGCCCATGTGTGTTGTAGTATATTAAGTAATCACTGAATAATAGCTTTTGTACATTTTAAGTTCTCACAGATGTCAAAATGGCAGTAATCAGACTTACGTAATATATACATTGACAAAATGTTTTGGATCCTGAAATGTTTTATGAATCCATCCCATATGAAATTTCATTCTTATTTAGCCATAAAGTAGTTTTCTTGAGAAACAATTAGAAAACCAGGCATAACTAGAGATAGGTCTGAACTGAGAGACAAGATCTGAATTGTCCAGATCTCCTCAGATTTTAGGACTCATGTGGCCCAATTCATAGATTTGCTTGAAGAGGAATACTAATGACTAGGATTTTCTTTTAAATATATTTTAATCTGTATCCAGTACGTTACTTTTTGCTGCTTCAGTGCTAGCATGCATTTAAAGCAGGTGATAATATTCATAATGCAGGTATCAGTGCTAAGCTGGTGGTGGTTCCTGTTCAGAAGTGTCAGTACAAAATTCAATAATCTGTGATTATAAGGAAACAATTACACATTTACATCTGCCTAGAGCTAGAAATCAGTTTAATAAATATAGAACATAGTTCTTACAGTAAATGTAAATCCTAAATCTATTAAAACAAAGAGAATGAAAACTATATGCGCTGTCAAACCTCTAGTTCTGTCCCTTTTGTCAGCCCCAGTTTAGCACATCCTGGTGAGCTATCAGTCATCTTGAACCACAAACTGAAAAGGAAAATCCCCACCAAAACATCCCCCTAACATTTCCTGGTTGCCATGCAGTTCAGCGTGCGGTTTTACCAAGAAGTCTGTTAGCACGTACAGGTCTTACACTGCTTTTGCTCCAGTGGGCAGGGTGTTCGCACATCCTCCACCTGCCTTGCTTTGATGTATCTCTGCAGCTGCTAAAAGATCTGCTGCTTTTTTGTGTCCCTCCAATAAAAGACAGTTTGAGAATGAAACCCCCAGGTGGTGTCTTGAAAACAATGAAAACTGGGGAGTAGAGCATGAGGCATCCATACAGTATACCAAAAATCTTCATGGAAAATTAATTCCAGTGGGAAGAGTTAGCGTGAGTCAGTGTTACTCATTATACATAAGGGTTGCAGAATCAGGGTGGAAGTGGAAATTGCACCTGGTTTCTTACAGTGACAGTTTCTAACAAGCCTCTCCTATTAATTATCAGGGTGTAACTCACACTTCTCTGACAGGACAATGCTCTTTAGTCTGTGTGAGGCGATTCCACCCCACCAGCGGGCTCTAGCTAGCAGATTGTCTGGAGAACCAAAGTTAGTGATTTTGGCTGACAAGTATTGATTGAACCTGGTTTAGATGTGTGAATGAGGATAGCAGAGAAAGGTTTGCATGCAGCTGCTTGAGAGAGGGCACCAGAAATCCCAGGAAGGATGGGGAGAAATGTGGAAGTTAATACTTTCCATACTTATAAAGCTCAGCACAGACAGAAGCACTTCATGGCTTTGGGTTGTGTCACCCAATCTCATGGTCTGGGTGAGATTGATGATTATGACAATTCAGATGTTTTTCATACCGTTTGCCTTCTTCAAGGGCTATTATTAAACAGCTCTAGCAAATCATGTGAATGAAGGAAAAAAGGAAGGATTGTGTCCTGTCAGTCCTCAAAGCCAGACAGCTCTAGGAGGAGGAAGGAGGGAAAGTTAGCGTGCTGTTGGTGATTTCACTGTGAGTCCACTCTGAGTCAGCCGCTTTGAAGATTTAAAAATGTTAAAAGGATCAGCAATAGTCGGTCACGTGGAATGAGTTTTACATTGCCTTGGCTCTTGGAACACAATAAAAATCCATCTTTTGCATAAGTGTGTTACAGCCAGCTAAGTAACATCAATATAAAATTAATGGATTTGGCCTTCTTGCCCTATGGGAAAAGGTGAAATATGTGTTTTGATTTGAATTTCAGTCGTGTTTCTTCCTTAATTCAAAATTACTCTGTAAGCCTCAGCATGGGAAAAAAATGAAGGTATTAATTTAGTTTAGATCCCATCATTTGTTTTTGATATGGTATTTATTGGTGTGATTAGAATTTTTTTTGTTAATTCAGTTAAGGGTCCCTCCCCATTGTGTGAACGTTAAAATCTGAGACTATACAGTAAAAATGCTGTGTTCCCTGATAGCTCATTTTTAAAATGCGGTAATTACTGCCTTCAAAGAGTAGATGCTGAATTTACACAATTTGCTTAGACTGTGAAATTCTCTGTGAGTTTTGAGTACTGCTTTGGTCCTTTTTCCATACTCAGCTCTTCATGAACAGAGTGTCTCTGCTACAGCAGTGGTACTTTTGGAATAGTAGGCGTAGAAGATATCATCAAAGTGAAGACAGAGATGCTGTCTCAGCATTACTGTAGGACACAGTGCCAACGAATTGGATGGCCTCAAACCCAGTTTTGAGAACTGGATTGCCACATTTTTGCCTGGGGTTTCCTGGGCACCCACGTGATCTCCCATGCTGCGCAGGCAAGGTTTCCTGGAGCCTGGCTGGGCCTTCTCCTGCAGCTGGGCAGCACACGTGCAGCCAGCCTGGTACCCCCAGCAGCGTCCTGGGGTGCAGGGTCTGCTCAGGCTCAGCATTTCCATGGAAAACGTACACACGTGCAGGCATGCAGCCCACGTGTCGTTCCATTAAGCCTGTCTGTGTGAGCAACCCTACTTTTTTGAGCAGCAGAACTCTAAGTAATTGACTCTCTAAGCAGAATTCTGAGTATGAGTGAATCTCAGAGTGGTAATAGAGCAAAAATTGTTGTGTTTAAAACAAGGAATGGGCTGAGGTTTGATGGTAACTAAATCAACTCTCTCTAAACAAAAGCAAACTTCACTTTATAATTCAGTGAATCTAGGATTAACTGCAATCAAATGGAACCAAAGCAAGCGTATGTGCTATCTGCTTTCACACCGAAAGGTTTTTAGAAATTAGCCTAAAATTATCAGAAAAGATGTTGATGTTCCAAGAAAATTTATCTCCAAAATCACTGAGCTTGTTACGTTGAAGTAATCAAGTACAGCTTTGTGATCTTATCCCCATATTTAACATTAAGTCTTGGGCCTCACAGAGTGTGTTTTAGGAAGAGACAATCAAGAAGGGAAAAGTAAAGAGAAACCTTTTTTCTTGTCTAGGTAATTTAATAGCTGCTAATACAGCTACTGCCTGGACAACGTCCAGGACACTATCAGGCTTTGAATATGAAATATTTGGAGCCAAAGTAGAAGTCACTGGCATGGCAGATGTGAGAGCAGCTCCATCCTAGCAGTAGTCAAGGAGTGGCAGAAGGGCCATATGTTTTTTAATGACATGTGACAACAAAATATTAAAAATACAAAGAACTGTAATTAACAAGACTGTTAAACAGCTCTGAAATACTAATTGATTTTGTCTATATTAATTTTTTTTTGTCAGCCAACACTGGGGAAGGTGGAATTGTTGGAAAAGAGCTTTTTTTTCCCGTTCATTTTGTGGGAAGGCTATCCAAGTAACAATAATTATTAATTCTGTTGCTTATGGTGCAAGCATTCAAGATTGGATGCACAGCTTTTGAGCTTCTTTGGACAAGCAAGCATCAATACTGTTGGACTCCTACCTATGCTGTGAATAGTGGTTGGCCTCTCATGCATCACCCAGCCTGCATCTTATCTCCTGCGTTTTATCTCCTTCAGTGTTTCCTATGAGCTGTGGAAAGGAAAGTTCCTTGAGGTTTACACTGAGTAGATGCCTTGTACACAGAATAACATCAATTTATGAATGGACAAAATTAATTAAAGAAAGAGTGCATGCCTTGGATATTATCATTTTCTTTCAAATTTATGCTGTAGAACAAAATAAACTGTCAAGCAAAGATCACATTAGGAAAGTTGTTCATTATTTATAATGTGTCAATGCAAACGTGCATGAATTGCATCTCGTGTCTTTTAGAAAAACAGTTTTCCTATATAATCTTTTTTTTTTCAAATAGACAGTAAGGACACACCCTTTTAATATTGGAGAAGACTGGTCTATTTTTCCCTTGCTTTCACATGGAACTTCCATTAAAATTAAGATAAAAATGAGTCATGCTCCTCTTTGCACTGGAAATAATAGCTACTGCTATGAAGTGTGCTTTGCAGTTGTCATTCTAGTTTGGAGTTGCCACTGCTTTTTTTCTCTTGAGGGAAAGGTGGGACAGAAGCAAAATTAATTCACATTGCTTTGAAGTGTCCTGTTGTTTCCCCATTTCTCTCTACGCACATGATTATTCTTATTTGTATTGATATTATTATTATTATTATTATTATTAACCCTTTCTTCTGCACATTAGTGTTAATGGCACGTTAATTGTCCTAGATACCCTACAGAAACATGTTGTATTGCTGGTTTTGGGACGGCTGAAGATTTGGCTCAGCCCAAAGAGGGAAAGTATGAAAAAGGTGATTGAAAGTGGCAGTGCTTTTTTGAACGAATTGGTAGCTATTACTTGTGGGTTTGCTTTGAAAGCATTATACTTGAAAAAAACTAATTTCCAGGTCTCAGTGAAGCATTAGGCATACATTTTTAACATTTTTTTTTCTTTTCTTTTGATAACAGAGTTCAATGTAAGTTGCAGATATGGAGGAGTTTTTCATGTTGAAAAAAATGGTCGCTACAGTCTCACACGATCTGAAGCAGTTGAACTCTGCAGAGCTCTCAACAGTACCTTGGCAACGCTAGAACAGCTGAAGAAAGCTCATGAGCTTGGATTTGAAACTTGCAGGTAAAGAAACTTGAAGACATAGTATATCATGACACCACTAGTGTAGTAATTACATTTGACTTACTGTAGATGCTATGATTAGCTAAATAAGGTATATTCTATAAAGAAAAAAACATCTTTGTGCATGTGTAGTTTGCTCTGAGTCCAGTAATAAGTAAGTCCTTGATGCCATAGTTTTTTGCCATTTATTTTTTTAAAGAAATCACAACCTCACACAGATAAAATATAAAGGTAACAAAAGACTGACAGTATAATCAGCTAGTTAGGAAGATGTTCATATCCTAGTGTGTCACTGAACAATTGGTAAGATAAGTATGTGGGAAGGAAGGACCTAATTTGAGGTCAAAGACTGAGGATGGTGAATGCAGTGAATGGAACTCAGTCTTGCCAAGGAACAGTGAAGAGCAGCAGGTGGTACTGTGAGGGGTCAACTCTTGACATCCCACTGAAAAAATGGCCACAGTACTAGTGCATTCTTGTAATCTGTGAATGGAGATGTTTCACATGACAGCTACAGTAATTATTAAAAATCCCAAAACCACGTTGTCAAGTGACCTAATTATCTACTGTAATTAATGATGTATAGGGCAACAAATGTGGATGATACAGATTCCCCAGTTTCTCAAAAAGTAACTAGACCAAGGGACTAGAAGTTACAGAAAACCTTTAATTCAAAAAAAATAAGTGAATGAACGTATGTGGGGCTGAACAATCGCAACCTTCTCAGTGTTTCCTCATAGCAGAGGTGCTTCATCCCTCTGATCAACTTCATGAACCTCCTCTGAACTCCAATAGGTCCATGTCCTTCTTGTGCTGGGGACCCCAGAGCTGGACACAGCACTTCAGGTGGGGTCTCAGAGCAGAGAGGGGGAATCTCCCCCCTTGACCTGCTGCCCACGCTGCTTGGGACACAGCCCAGGATGAGTTTGGCTCTCTGGGCTGCAGGCAGGCACTGCTGGCTCGTGCCCAGCCTCTCATCCAGCAGTACCCCCAGGTTTTTCTGGCCAGGCTGCTCCCAGTGTGTTTATACCCCAGCTGGTATTGGTGCACTGCTTCCACTGCCTGTGCATTTCCTTCCTGTGCCTTAGTCCCTAAACAGCTGTGCTGGTCCCTTGGCTTGGTTTCCTGATTTCTTACGCTGCTATCAACAGCTCTTGCGCTCCATGGAAGGAATCCTTGAACACCATCTCTGTTCTTGTCCCTGAGGGCAGTTTCCCAGGATGGCCTATTGACTACCTCCTTGAAGTGCTGGAAGTGTATTTCCCTAAAATTCAGGGGTTTGACTTCACGCTTCTCCTTGCCCATTTCTCTCAGGACTTCAAACTCCACCACTGCATGATCACTGCAGCCCAGGAGATTCATGGAGGCACACCATTATGGAGTTTAAATAAATGTCAGCAAGTTTTCAACTTTATTGCAGTCTAACTTAAACAGCAAACATGGAGAAATGGAATTTATCTTCTAACTGGCACAGAAAAATTCAGTGGACATGTCTCCAAAATTTTAAGACTTTCACTCTGGTACCATGAGAAATAGTACTGACATCAATGCTGCTTTTCCTGTTCTGGCATGTTCATTTCACAAGTATTGTGGTGGTGGACTATGTGAACAGAGAATTCTTTAGGGGATTCTTCCATTAGAAGTGGAAATGTAATTTCAAATTGTACCATGTAAAGACTAGAAAGAGTTCTTTACTCTGAGGGGAAGTCCCTCATAATGCAGTAGGCATGATCTTTTCAGACATTAGCACATGAACATACACAGCATTCTGAATTGCCCAGCACTACACAATATTTAAAGATCAAATCCTAAATAATGTGTAGGGGTAGAGATTTCTATGCAAGCAATTAGGAGTATTCTAAACTATGAAAAGCATTTTCTAAAGCTAAAATATGAAGGCAATTGAAAGAAGAAGAAGGATTTTTTTTTTTTTTCCCCAGGGGGAACATGTAATTTTTAATTAATGTTACAATTCCCTAATTCACATTTTACCAGAGGATGGATTTGGACAGGCAAGTCATGTAGATAGGATTTCTTCCTCCCTTCCTTCTGGCCAACCCTCCCACCCTATTGCATTCATTTGTTGATCCTGTGCTAGAAGTAATCCTTGTCAGTAAGCTTTAGCTCTTATTAAACGTGAGTAGGAGAGGGAAAATATGCTGTATATAACCATCCAAATGTGTGTGAATAAGATGAATCAACAGAGCATAACACAAGTAGGTCAATATTGGTTTGTAAAGTGTCAGCCTTGTAAGCTTAGTTGGGAGTATGAGTAAAGCAATTTATAATTCCACCTACAAGAGTTTCAGAATTGCAGGTATCTGCACATTAGACATGAAACATCTGCACATTAGACATGAAACTCAAATGATGTTCCTAGATCAAAAATTGCAAAGCTGTGACATTTGCTCCTCCCTGATAAATTATTCCTCTCAAGAAGTAAAGCAAAACCCAAACCAAACTTCAGTTCTTGTTACCATTCTATCACATCTCCAGTTAAATACATTGGAATCAATCAGGTGTTACAGGATTGCAAAACAGTAACGATGTATTGTTCCTTATGTAATCACAGTCTTCACTGAATTATGTGAGCTCTGTGCACAATAATCACACTGTTCAGCTGAAAGATACAATAAGAATTTGTGGATGAATGATTCTTGCATTTGAATATTTTACTAGGCCGTCAGTTTTTGCAGATAATGATGTGGATCGCAATCATTTTTTAAACTTGCTCAAGTACCATAAATTGAGCCCTCAGCATTTCTATGTGAAATGTTTTGGTGTGTTATGTCAAGGCAATGAAAATGTGAATCCCTAAAGAATGGGAATTTAGTGTCAGGTAAAACAAACTGACACTGAACAAAAAGTGCACTCGCCTCCCTCACTTTCACTCCCTTGCTCTGGAGCTGATCACCCTATTTAGCCAGTAAGATGCATATTTAATTTGAAAGTGTTTAGGTCTAGAAATTAAACACAAAATGATGTTGACTGATGGGAGACTGATGTAGCTGCATGTGACAAAAGAACATTCAAATGAAAAAGGAACAAAAAAAGCAAAACAGTATGAATAAATGCATGAACCTTTAAAAAATAATGGTTTCTTTGTAGCTTCTTAATGTTTGAGGCGACGTCTGCTATAGTAAGTAATATGGTTTATTTACCTCTGTTGTTCACAGGTATGGTTTCGTGGTGGGGTATGTTGTTATCCCACGGATCAATCCCTATCATCTTTGTGCAGCAAATAACACTGGCATTTACAAACTTTCAGCAAACACAACTGCTCGGTATGATGCATACTGTTACAATGCAACAGGTAAGGAGATGATTTTATGATGCATTTTAGAAACAGATTAACTAAAAATAACATATGTAATCTCCTATTTAAGGTACTGGGATAAGGGTTTATATAATAAACATAGCCTGGTTTTCTGCTGAGAAGAAATACATTTTGTCAGCCTCTAGAAGTGAATCTGTCATGTCAGCAATGACCATTTTGTTTTCAGGGTGTTTGGAACTAAATCACTTTTCTGGCCTTGGGACAAAGTTTGCAGCTTCAGAACAGTTCATGATAATGGCTTAGTGAAGTGAACCAGTGCAGCAGTGATTCTGAAAGACACAACTGCTGTCAGCCTGGCACTCAGCTCCTCTGTTCATGCAGACTTGAGCTTTACAGCCAGGAGCAGTTTTTGTGTTTTGGGGGTGGCTGCCACCTGCAGCAGCTCCGAGGTCTGCAGTGTCCATTCCAGTCCCATGGACAGAGCTGCTGCTCTCCTGCTGGCAGATTCATTCAGTATTTGCTCAGGCAAATCTCCATCTAGACATGAAGCAGCTGGACAGCAACATGTGTCAGTAGCAGACTGCTTTCATCTAAGCTTTTGGACTTTTTAATAGTTGGAGATATTATAGCAAATTATTAGGAAAGTGTATATAGTCTGTGACAGCTGCTGAAAACACTGTTTGAAAATAAAATCTAAAGTAACTTCCAGGATCTTGAATTTCAGTAGATTGTGACATGTGTTGTGGAAGCAGAGAGTTCTTACAGAAAGTCGTAGGAAAAGTTCATCGATGATTTGAATGCAGTGATATTTTTTTATTTTGTTCTTGGTAGTGATATAATTAAAAATCTCTGCATTGGTGTAGTATCATGTGAATTGCTATTGTCTGTCACTCACAGAGGACTACAATGGTGATGTCCATCCCCTCCAGATCTTTATAACTCCTCCCAAGTATTATTCCCTACCAGCAGTATGAGCAGGTAGCTCATACACCATCCCCAGGTGGGGCACTTCAGCCCACAGGGGCCAGCAGCGCTCACCAGAGCGGGGCACACGCTGCCTCTGCTGAGCCCTCCAGGGAGGGACGGAGCCTTGCCAGCTAAAAACATTAGAGTTGCCACTGCCACAATGACATTGGGTCTGACTGCATTGAAACTGTGTCATAAGGCTGGTTTAACTGGCACTGATTGCAGACATTTTCTGGAATGGTTATGGAAATGGGGAATCTCATTGTTAGCTGAAGGAACAATCTCAAAGTGCCCCACCTGGGAAGGTGGCACATCAGTGAATAACATTTGTTTGGGAATTTGCTTCCAGTCCTTCTCATCTGAAGCTGATGTTTTGTCATTATGTACAATTGATTTAGGTATACATGTGATTTTTTAATCCATTTTTTTAAATTAATACTTTCTATTTTCCTTCTTTCACAGAAACAGAGGAAAAAACATGTGAGCCAGTTGTAAAAATAGATACTTCCTTACTCAGCAACCAGGATGAAATAGGTACTGTACTGATTAGAAAGACATGCACTTGCTCAGTTTTTAGTAGCTGGTTATCTTATTTTTACATAAACAATCACTAATATTAAAAAAGCCAAGCCGAACGTTAGAAAAAGAAGTTAAGAGATGTTCAGTAGAAATTAAAGCAACTAGTCACTTGTCTTCCCCTAAAGCCTATGGAGTTTGGCTTATTTCAGGATAGCAAACATTTTATGTATAGGTATTTGACATTTTTTGGTACCTCAGAGCTGCTAACATCCCTTTGAGATAAAGGAATTTGCTTAAGACTGCAACCTTCATACATCTGATTTGAGCTGTTTGTTAGAAAAGCTGCTGGAAGCTGAAAAAAGGCTCATAATAAATCATTTTTTCCAACTCTAAGATCTGATTGACTTTACACATGCCAAGACATTGTATTAAAATCAAGCTGTTTGATAAAAATAAGTGATGCAATTCAGGCCTACAAATGCAAAAAACATATAAATTAGCATATATGCATTAGACATATTTTAGTGATGTATTATCTAGGTTAGATAGGAGGCTAAAACCAGGTGACCTGGTATTAATCCATAGGCACTATTCTTTATTATGGCTGTGTATCTCCTTGACACGAATTCCGTTTAATTCCATTTCCGCAGTCATTGACAACGCAGACGGCTCCAGCTTCAACGCGGATGGCACACGTCACACCGCTGGAGAGTCCTCCACCTCAGGGGTGGATGATGAAAATGCAGGTAGTGGATCAACTCATGAGACAACTGCCATGGATGCCTCCATCAGCAGGTCCAGCCCCTCATATTATGGAAGTCCTACTCCAGTCTCACAGCTCCCAGGTCATTCTTCTGGAGGAGGTGAAAAAGAATTTCCTGGAATCTATGGTAAGGACAATAGGTTGAGACTAATTTCATGGGGCCCTGTCAAATACAAATGCCATGTTCTTTTCTACTTACTTTATTTAATCTTTTATGTTGCTTGTGTGACTGAAATTATCAGAGGTCTGAAAGACTCGCTCCCATTGAACGTTAGGGATACAGATATAAGTCATCCTCTAAGAACAGTAAAGCTTACTGTGTGACTACAGGCTTTTTATCAAATCACTAATAAATTACCAGTGAAGGATACCAGTATTTTGCATTACTATCCTCAATACATACTGAAATTAATTTAAAAAAAAAAAAAGCAAGAACATTAGGATTATAAAATTACTTTTCACTGGTGGTGTACTCACGGCATGTTATGCTTGTTTTGACATGTAGCTAGCACCATTAAAGGTAAATCTTAAGACTGTCTAGCTAAGGAACTAGGATCAGAAACATTCCCCACATTCCCCAAGGTGTGTGCAGTGTATTTCTGTTGGTTGCTGTTACAACTGTTACCATCTGTGTTTGCATGCATAGTCTAGATTTTTGGACTAAACCTTGGAATATATCTCAGAAGAGGGGAATATGAATAACTTCACTCATTGCTCTAGAGTCCCTGTCCTCATGTCATACAGCTACAGTGAGATCTTGTAGCACATAAACAGATCATTGCCAGAATGTTCATTGTCACTGTAATACATTCTCCTCTTCAAACTATCTGTTTGGGTGATATCCTTACTGTGTTAGTGAGATAAGCTTGTGTGGGGTCTGCATCTTTCTTCTCTCTTGGACCAGTACCTGGAGGAATGGAGCTTGCAGGGTGGAATAGTTGAAGTACTTGTGAGTACTGTATTGTAACTGAGCTTATGAAATAGTAATGATTTATCCATCACCATACAGGTGATGAATTTCCATCTGTATCACCTGATACCTTTTTTGGGACGACGGCTGGTGATTTCCATGACGAAGATGATGGGCAGTATCCTGCAAGTACTAGTAAGATTTATGTTTCATAATAACAACATTACACAGACATCACATTAAAATTGCTTTCTTCTTCCAGAAGGGCATTCTGGTAAGTGGTGAAGTATACAACACCTCAGAAATTGGAAAGACATTGAAATAGACTGGTTTCTAGACTGGTTAAGTGGGTAATGACCTTCACTCTCTGAGACAAGGGGAGCAAAATCATTTACAGTATGTTTGCTGCAATGCTTCTACTTGAGCTCGGAAATACTGCAGTTTTGGGTTTCCCACAGCTGGTTTATCACTTTATGAGGAATCACAAATTAGTACAACCTATTATCGCTTGAAGTCAATTTATTTCTGAGGTAGAAAAGGATATTTTTGTAGATTCATATTTATATTTGTAGTTGTGAATGTATGTATATAATATATTTGTAGTTGTGAATGTATGTATGTTCCATGTCAAAAACCATGGCCTTGCTAACCAAGGCAGTGCTTTATATGGTAGTTGCAACTACCAAGCCATTTGTGCGCTGCAAAAACTAATTTCACCCTTGCTGTTGGCAACATTCCTAAGAAAAACCTGGGGTCTGTGGTTACTCCACAGTCTTTGAGGACCCAAAAGAACAGTAGCCATCTTCTGTTCTTTGTCCTTACATAGCTTCACTGAGTTGGAAAAACTGCTTATGATGTTTTTATCAAATATGTAGTGCGCAGCAGCTACAATAAATAAAAAGCTTTTGAAGTCCTCTTCCACATTTTAAAGTGGAAATAACATACATATGTTCACACTAGTTCTTATGGTTAGAGTGATAAAGATCTTTGCCTCAGAAAATATAGTGAACCTAAGGGGAGAACATTTTAATTATACAGAGGAAATCTACAGAGGCTTGTTGTAGTAAAGATCAAACTGATAGAAGGGAAAGTTCCTTCCCACTGGCTCTTTTTTTTCTCCATCGGGGGGAATCCATGTTCCTTGATTGCCTGTTGGTTGCTGATAGTTGGTCAAATGGTCCAAGTGACTTGGAGAAATAGTGCCCTCATCACTGTATTTAGAGGAAGAATGACTGTATGCATTTCAGTTAGCAAAAGCTTTGCTTAAAGACATAAATTATTAAACCCAAACATATTTTCTCAGAAGATGTGAAGATTAGTAACGCCTTATAAGTATGCAGATAGAAAAAGAAATATTAGGTTGATTTTACTCCCAACCTTGAAAAAAAGTAGAGAATTTTCTGGTGCTTGTTTCCAGTGAAAGCTTTTGTTACAAAATGTTGCCTGTAAGGGGCGGATGTTTCAGAAAATCCCACCTGTAATAGTGGGGAGTTTGGTTGGCTCTGGTGGTGATTTTTCCTTCCTATATGTTTGCTTTTGTATGCACATGTGACTTAATCTTTCCTTGTGCTGGTGTTTCTGTACCCACTGAAAAAATCTGTGCATTGTTTCTGTACAGGAAAGCTTTCTGTTTTCATTTTAATACTTGATTATCAAATGTATTGGTCCTAAATATGTATGTCCCTTCCTCTTGCTAGCAGCTCTCTCTCATGGGCAAGATTGTTTTACAGAGGGAAAACTGGAGATATTTAACATCTGAAAAGATCAAAGAAGCTATAGAGCAATGTGATAAAATGCGTCAATAATGATAAATGTGTATCACAGAAGTGATAGCATTGTCATGTTTGTTTACAGGGGTAGGAATGATAAACTGGTTCTCTGGAGGAAAAAAAAATTATGAAAGTAATGCTCCTGGGCTTTTCTGATAGCTTTGGCTGTTACCCAGCAAGATCACTTTAACACAGAAGTGTTTAACTCATTTAGTTTAATTTTACTGCATTATAAATGAATCAGTAACCTAGCACTCCTTTTAGAAAGACGTAAAGTATAAGCTGTGCATCTCTCTAAGAAGTCATCAAATATTCAGTAACACAGGAAAAAATGACATGGAGAGCAGTCCTAAAAAGAAGGAATAAAGCCATGACCCAATATCTGTTACTTAGTTTGTATAGCAGTGCAGGCTCAGTGGAATATCCTGGTCACAATTTAATTTCCCAGAGAAAAAACCCACAGACAGGGAAGCAGAAAATTAAGAAATAAGTAAAGAAAGTTATTTGTCATATATCTTCAGATAGATGGCTGGAAATCTATGTATCTAATTCTGTAGTATTCCAAAGTGAGAAACAAAATTGGTGGCTCTCCACTGTACTAAATTCATTTGTAAAGTTAAAGTTTTTTAAAAAGATATATAGCTTAATCTAAAGAATTCTGTGCTATGGTTTGAAATGAGCAATTTGCAAAGCTTCTTGTTCTTCAGATGATACACATTCATTCTTTCTCTGGATTTGGACATCACTTGTGCTGTGCTCCATCAAGTTAATGGGCCAGATTAATACAACATCAGCACTTTACCATTGACTTTCTCTCCTTGCCCAGACATGTTTTACTCTTTGTTATTAACAAATTATGATTCACCTCTAGGTGTGCCATGAATCAGATGTAGAACTCTTACTGATTAATGAGCTACCTACATGAACAGTAACTCTGACTGATTTTTTTTCATCCATATGTGATAGACACATTTATATCTATTTGCATACAAATACCTATGTGGATGCACAGTGGAAGAAAAGGCTGTAGATTCCTGTAGTTATTCAAAGGAGAAACACTTTTTCATTCAGAAATATCTATCACAAACCTGTAGAATTTAATACTTGATATGCTGTTTTCTGAGGAAATGTTGTGGATTTCTAATGTGATAGGACTAAAGCTGCACCTCTCTCACTGTGATATGCTAATGCCTGCCTGGAAAGGGGTTCTGGTGTAAAATTAGCTGCCAGCATCAGGACAAGGGGAATGCATGAGCCTTTTGAATATCCTCAGTTCTGAACTCAGGTCCTTGGAAGCATTGGCTTTGTAGACACTTCTTACATCTTTTGATTTTTTGACATCTTGGTGGATGTTCCTCATTCTGGGCTCTATTTCAAAGACTACCTGCTCTCTCCTGCTGTCAAAGCCTGTGAGGAACTCACTAACCTTAGGAACATGGAGGGGTGAAAAGCCCCAGGTGGCTTTTTGGTGGCTGCTCTCAAGGGAGCATGTTCTTTCCTGGGACTGCCCAAAGTGCTTGCATCTGGCTGGGCATTGGAGGAATGTAATGACACCGTGGGTTCATACATTCACCCTGCTCTCACATCCATCTGTGGGCATGAGCGTGCTCAAGGTGCTGCTGCTGGTGGACTGGACTGTGCTGGAGGAAAAGTTGCCTCTCAAGAAATAACCACAAGATCTTGGTTAAATGAGCCATGTCCTAACAGCTCCAGGGCCTCATCATGACAACCTGGAGAAAACCACCACCCAAGCTTGGTGGAATCCGTTCCCAGACAACTGGTGGTGGTCGAATCCTGGAGAGAAGACGCAAGAACCCACGCCAGCAACCCGGGGTAAAGAATGCCATGCTCAGAGGCTGCTTGGATTAGGGGCTGGATTACCAGGGAGCAGGGCAGCAAGGTGCACAGCCTCTAGGTGGAAGGGGGGATGAATGGGTGACATTTCTCATTGCTGTTTCTTGCACGGTGCTTGAAGCAGGACAAGCAAAGTCCCGGGCTCCCTGTCACAGAGTGTGGACGTGGTAGCAATGGAGCAGTTGTGCACACTGTCCATGTGCCATGGAGGCATTCTGCCTGTCTGAAAGGAATGAGTATGGGAGCATCTCATTATGTACAGCATGTACCTGGGTCTGTCTTTCTTCCTGTTTGGAAGCAGTTTAGGAGCAGAGTGTTCCAATGAGAAGGACTTGTAGGGGGGAGAATGGAAAGGATTTCAAGCCAGTATGCTCTGCTCTACCTGATATGAGTGTGAACATGGAAAAGTTCCCAAAATGTATGTAAGAGCTCTAGAGGAGCAGCTTCAGCAGGGCCATGGCAGAGGGGAGAACCCCTTGTGAGTGGAAAGGCCAGGAGCAGCTGTGGCCCCAGGAAGCACGAGGCTGTAAATTCTCCTCAGTGATTGTAAGGCTGTGAGTAGGGGAGGCAGGAAAGCTGAAGTGCCAGCAGCAGAAGGCCTTGTGGGTTAGGGCTTCATGGCAGATTTAACATCATCACGGCAGGTGTGACCTCCAGTGGCAGTGATTCAGATGATGAGGACTCTTCTGAGGAGATTGTGTATCCCACCATGTTTCCAGGCTGGGGCAGGAGTGTGGCCGAGGACGAGACTTCTCCGAGTACAAGTAATTAGCTTCTGTTCTCTTTGGTTGGTTTGTTCTTTCTTCTTTCCCATCTGGTGCTCCTCCTTCTTAGCCACATATGTATTGTTTGAAAATTGGATGATCTCATCAGCTCTTTTTAAAATCCATCAACCATGTCACAAAAAACTCTATTTAGAACATTTGGGGTCCATACTGCAAAAGCACTACATTCTATTGATTCTTGAACTGTTGTCTTCATTCTCATTTGACTTGTGGATTTTCCTTCTGACTTCTTGGGAGTCAAGGAGTGATTTCATTTGGAGGGAAGTTCCAACCTCCTAGAAGTCTCACGATTATCTTTCATAGTCTGCCAACAATTAGTTGGCTTGCCTAGCATGATGCATTAAAAGACTGTAGATTCCTCTAGTTTTTTTAAGCAGAAACCTCTTTCCATCTGTAAATGCTAGGTATAAATCTAGGTATCCTGCTATTTGATGTACTATGTTGTGAGAATAGTCTGTGCATTGGAACAGGTTACAAGTAAAGCTTCTCCTATCTCTCCATGCTGCACTGGTGCCTACTCTGAAAGGTGGTTCTGTGGTGCATTTAGCTGTCAGCATCAGGTCAAGGGTAGTGCATGTCTTTTGAGAGTAATGGCCTCTGTTTTGTGCTCAGGTCCTTGGCAGCATTGGTTTCATGGGCTTGTCAGTAGAAGAACATTTTGCTTCTCTGGGTGTGCTTGTCTTTGGGTATCCCTTTTGCCTATCGTGGATAATTCTTTCATCTTTTGTATGTGATTTTCTGTCATCTTGGTGGATGTTCCTCATTCTGGGCTCTATTTCAAAGACTACCTGCTCTCTCCTGCTGTCAGAGCCTGTGAGGAACTCACTAACCTTATGGAACATGGAGGGGTGAAAAGCCCCAGGTGGCTTTTTGGTGGCTGCTCTCAAGGGAGCATGTTCTTTCCTGGGACTGCCCAAAGTGCTTGCATCTGGCTGGGCATTGGAGGAATGTAATGACACCGTGGGTTCATACATTCGCCCTGCTCTCACATCCATCTGTGGGCATGAGTGTGCTCAAGGTGCTGCTGCTGGTGGACTGGACTGTGCTGGAGGAAAAGTTGCCTCTCAAGAAATAACCACAAGATCTTGGTTAAATGAGCCATGTCCTAACAGCTCCAGGGCCTCATCATGACAACCTGGAGAAAACCACCACCCAAGCTTGGTGGAATCCGTTCCCAGACAACTGGTGGTGGTCGAATCCTGGAGAGAAGACGCAAGAACCCACGCCAGCAACCCGGGGTAAAGAATGCCATGCTCAGAGGCTGCTTGGATTAGGGGCTGGATTACCAGGGAGCAGGGCAGCAAGGTGCACAGCCTCTAGGTGGAAGGGGGGATGAATGGGTGACATTTCTCATTGCTGTTTCTTGCACGGTGCTTGAAGCAGGACAAGCAAAGTCCCGGGCTCCCTGTCACAGAGTGTGGACGTGGTAGCAATGGAGCAGTTGTGCACACTGTCCATGTGCCATGGAGGCATTCTGCCTGTTTGAAAGGAATGAGTATGGGAGCATCTCATTATGTACAGCATGTACCTGGGTCTGTCTTTCTTCCTGTTTGGAAGCAGTTTAGGAGCAGAGTGTTCCCATGAGAAGGACTTGTAGGGGAGAGGAAGGAAAGGATTTCAAGCCCGTTCTCTGCTCTACCTGCTATGTGCTGTGAACATGGAAAGGTTCCCAAAATGTATGTAAGAGCTCTAGAGGAGCAGCTTCAGCAGGGCCATGGCAGAGGGGAGAACCCCTTGTGAGTGGAAAGGCCGGGAGCAGCTGTGGGCCCGGGAAGCATGGGGCTGTAAATTCTCCTCAGTGATTGTAAGGCTGTGAGTAGGGGAGGCAGGAAAGCTGAAGTGCCAGCAGCAGAAGGCCTTGTGGGTTAGGGCTTCATGGCAGATTTAACATCATCACAGCAGGTGTGACCTCCAGTGGCAGTGATTCAGATGATGAGGACTCTTCTGAGGAGATTGTGTATCCCACCATGTTTCCAGGCTGGGGCAGGAGTGTGGCCGAGGACGAGAGTGCTCCGAGTATGAGTAAGGAACTTCTGTTCTCTTTGGTTGGTTTGTTCTTTCTTCTTTCCCATCTGGTGCTCCACCTCCTTCGCTACACATATATTATTTGAAAATTGGATGATCTCATCAGCTTTTTTTCAGAGGCATCTCCCATGTCACCAAAAAGCCAAATTTGGAATATTTGGGCTCCACATAGCTAAAAGCACCACCTTCTATTGATTCTTGAACTGTTGTCTTCGTTCTCATTTGACTTGTGGATTTTCCTTCTGACTTCTTGGGAGTCAAGAACTTATTTCATTTGGAGGGAATTTCCAATCTCCTAGAAGTGGCACAATTATTTCTCCTAGTCTGCCACCAATTAGTTGGCTTGCCTAGCAAGATGCATTAAAAGACTGTTGATTCCTCTAGTTTTTTTAAGCAGAAACCTCTTTCCATCTGTAAATACAAGGCATAAATCTAGGTATCCTTCTATTTGATATACTATGTTGTGAGAATAGGCTGTGCATTGGTAACAGGTTACAAGTAAAGCTGCTCCTATCTCTCCATGCTGCACTGGTGCCTACTCTGAAAGGTGTTTCTGGTGTGCATTTAGCTGTCAGCCTCAGGTCAAGGGTAGTGCATGTCTTTTGAGCGTAATGGCCTCTGTTTTGTGCTCAGGTCCTTGGCAGCATTGGTTTCATGGGCTTGTCAGTAGAAGAACATTTTGCTTCTCTGGGTGTGCTTGTCTTTGGGTATCCCTTTTGCCTATCGTGGATAATTCTTTCATCTTTTGTATGTGATTTTTTGACATCTTGGTGGATGTTCCTCATTCTGGGCTCTATTTCAAAGACTACCTGCTCTCTCCTGCTGTCAGAGCCTGTGAGGAACTCACTAACCTTATGGAACATGGAGGGGTGAAAAGCCCCAGTGGCTTTTTGGTGGCTGCTCTCAAGGGAGCATGTTCTTTCCTGGGACTGCCCAAAGTGCTTGCATCTGGCTGGGCATTGGAGGAATGTAATGACACCGTGGGTTCATACATTCGCCCTGCTCTCACATCCATCTGTGGGCATGAGCGTGCTCAAGGTGCTGCTGCTGGTGGACTGGACTGTGCTGGAGGAAAAGTTGCCTCTCAAGAAATAACCACAAGATCTTGGTTAAATGAGCCATGTCCTAACAGCTCCAGGGCCTCATCATGACAACCTGGAGAAAACCACCACCCAAGCTTGGTGGAATCCGTTCCCAGACAACTGGTGGTGGTCGAATCCTGGAGAGAAGACGCAAGAACCCACGCCAGCAACCCGGGGTAAAGAATGCCATGCTCAGAGGCTGCTTGGATTAGGGGCTGGATTACCAGGGAGCAGGGCAGCAAGGTGCACAGCCTCTAGGTGGAAGGGGGGATGAATGGGTGACATTTCTCATTGCTGTTTCTTGCACGGTGCTTGAAGCAGGACAAGCAAAGTCCCGGGCTCCCTGTCACAGAGTGTGGACGTGGTAGCAATGGAGCAGTTGTGCACACTGTCCATGTGCCATGGAGGCATTCTGCCTGTCTGAAAGGGATGAGTATGGGAGCATTTCATTATGTACAGCATGTACCTGGGTCTGTCTTTCTTCCTGTTTGGAAGCAGTTTAGGAGCAGAGTGTTCCAATGAGGACTTGTAGGGGGGAGAATGGAAAGGATTTCAAGCCAGTATACGCTGCTCTGATTATGTTGTGAACATGGAAAGGTTCCCAAAATGTATGTAAGAGCTCTAGAGGAGCAGCTTCAGCAGGGCCATGGCAGAGGGGAGAACCCCTTGTGAGTGGAAAGGCCGGGAGCAGCTGTGGCCCCAGGAAGCACGAGGCTGTAAATTCTCCTCAGTGATTGTAAGGCTGTGAGAGGGGAGGCAGGAAAGCTGAAGTGCCAGCAGCAGAAGGCCTTGTGGGTTAGGGCTTCATGGCAGATTTAACATCATCACAGCAGGTGTGACCTCCAGTGGCAGTGATTCAGATGATGAGGACTCTTCTGAGGAGATTGTGTATCCCACCATGTTTCCAGGCTGGGGCAGGAGTGTGGCCGAGGACGAGACTTCTCCGAGTACAAGTAATTAGCTTCTGTTCTCTTTGGATTGTTTCTTTCTTGATTTTTCTGTCTTTCCTGATTCTCGTACTACTTTGTCATACATATATTGTTTGAAAATTGGATGTTTTTTTCATCAGCTGTTCCCGTCAGACATACCTCTTTTTTGACCTGAAATTATATCAGGTCCTTAGCATAAAATAATGTCCGTTTTTCACTACTTAAAATTAGTATCTCAGTTTCATTTTTATTCAATTGTTTGTATTTTCTCATGATTATTTAAGACAAAATATTTTGTTTTCATTCTATAAGTTTATTTTAAGTTCTAAAATAATTCTATTTCTTGGTATATATATAACCTACATCTATTCAATAGCAGACTTCCTCTCTATTGAGGATGCTCAGGCACAGTCTGGAAAGGCCAAACCCCAAGTCCCTTTTTCATTGGGAACTTTCAACAATACAGTGTTTTATTTGCTACCTTTTACACACATTTAGTCTTCCAACATTATCTCATTTGTTTTGTGACTTCAGATGTCTAGGCATCATCCAATATTACAACTGAGATATTTTAATACATAGCTTTGTTTTCCTCGTATGAATTGTCCCACAGTGACCATCTGAGAACTCTTCTTTAATTCAAAAGCCATCCATAGGTGAAATAGTTTTTGTCTGAAAACCAGAAAAACACCATATATGAAGGTGAAAGCTAAATGCTATGTGTCTCTTAAGTGCACAAGCTGCTACTTGGCTTTTGACCAGGGAATGGCCCCAGCCCTTCAGGTTTTTAAGCATAGATGTTGCTGTTAAATACTATACTGTAATTCTCATAATTGTACAAAGACATTAATCTGTTCTATTTCTGTAGTTTTATTTAATTTAACTACATCTTAATGTGTCTGTTGTCTGTGCTCTTATTTAATCAGCAGTCACTGTTCATAAGCCTTTTATTTTTATGCAGATAGGGCAGTATTTGCGGTTTTTCAGCAATGGTTTCCATTTTTAGTGGAAAATGCAAATCAGGAATTCATCTTGCTTTGGGACTTCTTATGTTTCTTCCTATGCTTTGGATAGTTTTGGTGTTTGTTTATCTTTGAGAGTCTGCATTGGGGACTTGTCCCACAGGTGTACTTCATTCCATATCTTTGTTGACAGCTCAGTGGTGTCTGCATGATCCATGGGTGAAAGTCTGTTCAGTCTCTGGTCACAGACTCTTGTAGAAGTTCTGGTTTATATCTTTTTAATTGTATTATAACTTTCTTGACTAATATTGGCTTCCTGGTGCTTGTCAAGGTGCTCTCATTTTTTTGCTCAGTCATGGGTATTCTAACATGGTACTTCTTGAGTACTTCTTGAGTACTTAGCAAGCATGTTTTATGTGTATTGAGAACCTTACATCCCGCATTATTCTTAAAACACGAGTTTAAATTTCTACAACTGCTCTACTGGTTTTGCATTGCTTCTACTGTACATTTTTCTTCTGCTGCTTGTTTTTCCCATTTTTCTTGGGAAGCTTTGCATCTCTCGAATGCAAAGAAAAGAGCAACTGGTTTGTTGTGAAGGGATTTGATAAGAAGAGTAAAGAGACTACAGCTAGGCTATGCAAGAAGTTCCATTTTCCATCACCTTTATGGCACACATAGACAGCAGATTTAGAGCACAGTCAGCATTGAATCCTCCATTCTCCCAACAGCTGTAGACTCACAACACGAAACACTTCTGGAAATCACCACACAAGGCCATTGGAACCCCACCTTTACAGATGAAGAGGAGCAGGATTCTAGCTCTGCTAGCAGGGGTAAAGCATTTCAGATAATACTCAGATTTCTGATATAATTCAGTGAAGTAGGACACTTGTGGTGCAGTTGTTTGTAATTCCCACACCATTAGTCTCAGTTCATCAGTTCAGAGTAATACTTTTACATTATTTGTACTAGAGCCCTCAAAGGTGGCATCTGTAACATTCATCTGTCATTTCAAGTCTATCTTATGTATACAAAGTTCATTTCTTGCCACTTCTCCTCACATCTCTGGTATTTTAAAATTTGCACTGCCAGTAGTGTGCAATAAAACTGAGCAGACTGCAACTTCTGGTGAGGAAAAAAATTCCTTTTTCCACTTCAAAATTTCTATTGTAAAATCTGAAGACAAAAGACAAAAAAGGGAGCTAGTGTTTCCAATACATAAATTGTCCTGCAAAGGATAATACACTACTGCCAGATGAACTGGAGGTGAACATTTTGCTACCAGTGTTAGTGCCAGTAGCCAACTGAGATACCAAAATGTTCAATTCTGTACGCAAGAGCTACAGAGTGCATCCTCAAGCTATTTTTCTGTGTCTGTCTGGTTCTGAGATTGTTTTGAACAGCAGAAGTTTATGCAATTGGCATTAGAACAGATTCTATAATCACACAGAAATGGTTTTTGTGATAACTTTCTTTTAGTGGTGAAGTATTGTTAGATCAGTTGTATTCATACATTGATTAATATTACCTCTTTTTATTTGTAAGACAATATATTTGTGTTCAGTATAATTTAAAAATAATGAACTACATTGTATGAGCACTGTCTTTACAAATATTTCATTGCCTGAATGTGAAGATAAGTATTCCTCCAGTTTTTCTCTTCTTGGGAAATAGCATAGTTTCTCTCTCTGGTAACTTATGGCATGTATGACACATCCAGCTCATTCTTTGCATGCTCTGATTAAGGACCTTAGCTTTACTTTTATATACCATTCATGGAAATGTTTGATACTTAAGGCAAATATATTTCCAGCCGAGTTCTTATGCTTATCTTAGGTTTTCTGATGTATCATTTCCAAACCTTCATTAGAACATCTCTTATGGTGGTGGTACTTCAGCTGACTGCATCTTCTGCTGTGTAAACAACAGCAAGTTAAAGAGCAAGCAATGAATTAGTTTCATTGGTGAGAGCTTTAATTATTATTGAGTTCAAAATAATTATGCTTATCTACTTATATGAACTTTCTTATTTAATTATTCCAATCTCAGAAGAAATTACAATTTCCTTAGGGTCACCTTTGTAATTATGCAATTGAGATAACTCAAAAGAAAAGGTTCATCAGTGTTTTACTTTAAAAACACAGAATACAAACAAACTCAACAGTTAAGTTCGTAATAATAAATATGAAATATTTAAGCTGTTGTTTCTATGAGCTCTTCTGGTTCTCGGATATGTCTTATCTTCCACTGGTCATTGGGATCCTTTCTAGTGTACTTAAATCTTCTGCTGCTCCTGGTGATGCTTTTGTGTGATGGGGTTTCCAGAAGACTTCTGTTTTCTTTCGTCTTTCATTTCACATGAAATGCAACAACAAAAAAAAGACAAAATGCAAAAGCCAAACACCCTTGTTACATAGACTATGACGATAAGGATAATATGTTGAGTATTTTGATCGTTATTGATTCAATCACAATCTTACCAGCACTAGTTACAAGTGAAAAAGAAAAGCATCAAGGACCAACCCAACATCCGCTATTACACAGCCTTCATTCTGGAGGGATCAGTCAAGAACAAAATCCTGCAAATACCACTGGCAGTATTGAACCACATGAATTTACTACTGCAGGTGAAAATTATTTTGGAGAGGAAACTTCTACAGGTAATATTGCAGGTCACATTTTAGTAAATTTTCAGGGTTTTATAAAGATTTAGTTTTAGGAAGTTTTACTCACATTTTTGCATTCTGAGGCCATAACACAGGTTCTGTGAATAAACCTCAGCAATTTTGGTGTTATATTATTATTTTTTTAATTAGTATGTTCTTCAGACTTTTCCTGGATGTTTCTCTTCTATTTGTCTTGTATGTCAAGACCTTTAGTAGGTTAATTTTGTAACTGTCTCCTACGTTTTGTGTCGTGTGTCATGCAGTCACAAGCTTTCAACAAGCTGTCTGCCAGGGTTTTGTCCGCAGGAAACAGAGAAGGCTTACGTGGAAAAATAATAATGTGTGCTGCATTTTTCACTCCTCTGGCAACTGTGTTCACTCTCCTGTTGCAAGTCATTCTTGGCCCTGGGATTTTTTTTTCCAGTTTTTTTTAATGACAGTTATATCTAAAATAAAATATCAAAAATGTTTACTCATCCCACTTTTGAGCTATAGCAATATGAAGGGAAGAAAACAAAGCAATGTAGAATAAGAGAGAGGCTTCTCTCTTTCATTGGTTGAATAAATTGAAGCATAAAAGATAAAATCATACTGTAAAGGTGGCAATTGAAAATTGATATATTTTAATTTCTGTTCCTGTGAGTGTACCAAACTTACAAGTCAATGACAGATGTGCTGTACTAAGCACTGCCAACAGTGAATGCACCACAGTCATCATCTGCCTTTGTGAATTATCAAATGCAGGTCTCTGATAATCTGTTATCCTACACTACTACAGCAATACATAATGGCCTAAATGCAATTAAAATTGTATCACACTGTGGCAAATTTCCTGCTTTTTTGCCCCCCTTATTGGGTTGAAGGGGTTAAGAAGGTTTATGCTTTTTTACACAATTTGGGTACTCTTTTGCTTTGATTGTGTAATAAAATCTACAGGTTGGTTGACGTGGATGGTGTTTTTCTAAATAACTACAAGATCAGATATTCTCCAGCTGTATGCTGTCTTATTCGTTGTGTGCACCATTCACAGATCTGAACCATGACCTAGCACTACCCTTTGTCACACTTCTTTGTGTGTTTTCCTGGAGATGCTGCAACTAATGAAACAGTGAAACTTTGAGTAGAAGAAATTGGATATAGTCAACACACTCAAATTATGTGATTAAAACCTTACTGATGGGTCATATCCTTGCATATTTATGTCTGAGGTTTTAAATTCTGCATCAGTGAATTTTGGTTTAATATTCAGCAATACAAACTTGATGGCAAGATTCAGATAAATACTTTTGAAAAATAACACAACTTGATTCTGAAAAGCATATGCTCATTTTGAGGAAGCATTTGGTCCTATTGATGACAGTTGGCAGCTTTTCTAAATATAAACCAGGATGAGAAGCAAATCTACTTTACTTCTCTTTGCCATTAAATGTAGTAGACATGTGAGCAAGACCTGTCATAGAGACAAGAACTGAAGAGGAGAATAATGTGAGAAATGGATCTTTATATACTGAGTTCATAATTGCTTCACCATCATCATAACAGCTATGGTCCCCAGCCGTGGGGCCAAACAGAATGACTCAGCACGAGAGCCACTGGTGCCTCCAGGCTGGAATGAGGGAGAGGATTATGCCACAGAGCCTGCTGGAATGGATAGAGTTACTCCTTCCAGAGAGAGCAATCATGAAAGAGAGTCTTCCACCACAGGTACTAGTAATAATGTCTGTTATGTATGCTGCATCACTTCTGTCTCTCAAATGGTCTCTCCTGGAAAGATGTTGCATGAACTTGTAGACAGGAGTAATTACTGATCTCTTAAAATAATCTCATAAACTGTAGAGTGATTAATTTTCTCTGTGCCTTGTCTGGATGGTGGTGAAACAGATTTCAATTTTAGCTCATTTGAACTTTACTTGCCACCACCACTTAGAGGGCTTTTCATTCCTTACTGGAGCATGGCTGTGCAATTGCATCCAGCTCATTACATACGTTACATTATTTGGTGCTGCCAGACTGTCTTTATCATAAAGTTGAATCCATACTTACGCATATTTGTACCTCGAGGTTAATCCATTCCATTTGCGAATATTCACCTGGTGAAAGAGTGTTCTTTTCATAGACTTTACTGAAATCTTTATCCCTCTGGTTCATTCATACAATGATGTGAGGCTGGAATCTATAAAATTGTCAAGACACAGCAATCCATTCTCATATAACAGTATTTATAACATCAAAATAGTGTTCTAAAAACATGGGTAATCTCTTCTTCTGGTGGTCTCTCTTCTCTACCTGCCACTGGAGATGGAGAGGAGAGACCATCTCAAATCTGCATATTTTGCCAACATCTCGCTCCAACATGCTGAGCTTAAATGTGGAGTTTAGGGCTCTCTCAGAAGCCAGTGACAGTGGGGAGGAAGAAGCAGTGGCCTTCATGTCTTCTTGACATGTCAGTATTTCAGTACTGATGCCTGTAATGTGAAACACACTGTGAGAGCAAGTGACAGTGCCAAGGAAGCTGAGACTCTGTAGGTAGGGATGCAGGTCAGGGAGTCCTTCTGACTTCTGCCTCTGTGTCTTTCCCTGGGTCCACTGCCCTCAGGAGTCTTTTTAATTAAGTAAAAAAGCGGGCAAGAATAGCAAATGGATATGTCTCACCAAAACTGTGAGAGAGCAGTGATGACGTGCACAAGGTCTCCCTTCTCTGCCCTTTTTGTGGATAGAAAAGGGTAACAGTGCTGTGAGGGGAGCAGGAGGCTTGTATGGGATGGAAATAGGAAGGCCACAGCAGCACACACGTGGAATTCACAGCTATTAAATAATCTGTGCTTAAATCATCTGTTATTAAACCATCATAGCAGCTGTTGCCTCTCCTGATGATGCCCACCACAAAGAGCCAACTCCACCACTTGTGCCTCGGGATTATGAACCAGAAATGAGCACTGAAGGCATCACGAATCCCACAGATGCCCCCGGGGATGAAGTTCCCCACAGGACCACAGCCACTATGAACAAAGCTGGTAATGACTCTCCTCCAATGGGTTCCAGTAAAAATAATGGATTGTACTCATTTCTCATGTTTGGTGTGAAATGAGACATTATTTCCTCTGAAACTGACTTCTTTCCTTGTCTTTCTCATCTTCGAAGTGTGCATTCTTGTTGTGAATTTACATTGCAAATGTTTTTATTATTTTGTTGCATGTGAATATCCCAACAAGAATTCCTGTCTGCTTAAGGATATTTTTTTTCCTGTGTGCCCTGTTTCTTGTGCCCCCTGACTTTACTTGGGTGTATTTTTAACTGTGAAAACAGTTGCTTTTTGGAGGTGGCTGGTAGTGCAAATGCTTGTTCTTCATGTCTGGTCATTCCTGGTCTTAATTTTTCAGCATATTCTCTTAATACTGTAAAATTTGAAATAATTAATTGGAGTTTGTTTATGTAGTTCTGCAAGGTTCTAACTTAAATTCCCACACTATGCATGTTATCCATTTAAAATTATTCTCATTCAAAATACTTCTTTCTTATTTAATGCAATAAGATTTTTTTTTATCACGCTGAAGTTGTTTGGAACTTCTTGCATCTTTTCTTCCTGCATTTTATAAAAAAGATGTTCTAAGGAAAAATTAGCTGTTATCGTTTTGCTTTTCTACCTCTAAATCCATTTTTATCTGGACTACTTAATCCTCAACATTTGGGATTTGACAGAGAGCTATGAAAACTACAAATTGTGTAGATTAAAAATATAGTTTGTAGATGAAAAAGTTTGTGTTCACTATCATCTGCTCACGTTTTCTAAATATGAATGAGATTCTGTAAAGTTTCCCAGTTCACTGTTTTCAAGCTTTATGAGGTTTGACAGGTCAGTTGCAAATATGAAAACCCAAGTATGATTTTGCAATTTTTTCAGATGTTATTAATTAAGTAATTCTAATCTCATTCCTCTGTGTAACAAGAGGAATTCTTATACTCATTCTGAAAATAATATTGCTGTTTTCTCACTTCTAAACAGTGTTCACTAGGTATTTTCAAAAGCAGTATTTTAGGCTGCATTGTGAATATTAATGAAGGAAGAGGCAAACCAAAAAGAGTGTGTCATATGCAGAGGATATTCTTTGCTTGTGCCTTTGTTTTGTTTTGTTTTTCTTCTCACTGTATAGTCTACATAGGCAAATAAATTAAAAAGCTAGAGATTACTAAAAATAAAGAGGGAGTAATATGTAAGGTGCATTTTTGAAATGTTTTTGAAGTTAACTTGGCCATCATCACAACAGTCACAGCCTCCACTGACATTCTGGCACCAGAAGATATAACCCAGGAAGCATGGGCGCCTCACCTGGTGGTGACATCTGCTTCCTCTCCTGAGGGTGCCCACCACAAAGAGCCAACTCAAACACCTCTGCCTTCAGATGATGAACCAGGACAGGGCACTGAGGGCATCACAAATCCCATGGATACACACAGAGATGAAGGCCTCCACAGAACTACCTCCAGTGTGACCACAGCTGGTAATGACTCTTTTCTGATGGGTATCAGCAAGAATAATGGATCATTCTCATTTCTCATGTCTGGTGTGAAATGAGACATTATCTCTGCTGAAGATTACTCCTTTCACTATCTTTCTCATCCTGGGGATCTTCATTCTTAACGTGGACTTGCAGTGAAAAATCTGGCATAGGATCTGTGAACAAGGCCTGAGGGACTCCTTGCTGCTTCTTGCTGGTGTACTTGGTGGTTTCTGACCTTCACTGAAGCATGTTTTTGGGTGATCTCCCAAATGTTCTGTGAGACATGCACTTTGGTGGTTCTGAATCCCCAGCCTGATCTTCCTTTCTTGTGCATCAGTGGGATTAGGCTGGATATGCTTTGGCACCATGACTGGTGTGGTGGAGGTGCTCTGGCAGGCCAGTCAGATGACTTGATCCTGCAACTCAGCAGCAGCACCATCACTGGGCAGTGGTGTCCCAGTGGTGAGAGCAGTGCATTCATAAAAGAATTGCATCCCTTAAATTCTGCCATCAGTTTCTTACTTCTCTTCCCCTGTGTCCCCTGTGTATTGCCAGGCAAAACCGACAGAGGTGAGGCCGCTCACTCCTGAGTTACTGGGTCAGGTTGTTGCTACTAAAGTCTCTTCTTCTAAAGGTCTCCCCTTTCCCTCTGTCACTGGGATCTGTGTATGTCACCAGCATCCTGCTCCAACATGCTGAGCATAGATGTGGAGCTTCAGGGTCTCTCAGAAGCCAGTGACAGTGTGGAAGAAGAAGGAGAGGCCTTCATGTCTTCTCCCCTCTTTCTGTGCTTTGCATGAGGAAGGTGAAGGTGCTTTCTGGCTTGCTGTGGCCCAGGAAATGATGTGGGTGGTGGTTTTTGTGAGTGCTCCCTGATCATGCCACCATCATGGCAGTCATAGAGTCCGTGGATGATGCTGACCAAGAGAAAGCAACCAAGGAGCCCCTGGCACCTGGCACTGCATCTGGATGGGAAGGTGAACCAGCAAACACCACCGATGGTTTCCATGTCCATGGGATACCTGGAGTTTTTTCAGACATTGAGGACCGTTTCATTCCCTTGCAGACTCCTCTTACTACCAGTAAGAACAGTGAATTATAACCAATTTCATTTATTCATCAGTAAGTTGTTGTTGTGGACAATGGTTATTGTCCAAAAATGTGTACTAGGCATAATTGTAAATGGTTGTCATATTATGATTTCCTTTTTGGGTTTTGTTATTGGTTTTAACCTGCTGATAAGATGTCATGAATGGTATCTCTTTCTAGCAAAAGCATTATGTAAAGGCTGTAAATAGTGTTTTACAAATAAGCTTTTCTTATGTTCTGTTATCAGCATGTGGTAACACAACTATTGAAATGAAGAAATGCAAACTTTCTGCTCATGCCCATATATGTGTGATAGCATTTTGTCTTTCTTTTTTTTGCTGGGCACAAATGACAGCTATGTAACCCTTTAATTATCTGTCACTTTCCCCCCATTCGTAACCTTTTAAATTAGCTGAATAAGTACAAAAGAAAGGTAATTCTCTGACACCATTTTTTTCCTAGCTATATGTGCTGTTGGTATCTTTCCAGTAATTAGTTGTAGCTGTTACTGGGCTGTAACTGACATTTCTTTTGTGAACAGCCTTGTTTTTCAAAGGGTTATTCTTCTGGTGAAGTTAGTGCAGTTAACAGTATTTGCCTGTTATACTACATACAGCCTTTGGTTTTTTTTTGGATGTGTGGTCACATGCTAATAACATGGGAAATGAAGGGACTTTTCCATATTCCCAAATGTAGTTTCCTCACAAATAACCATCCGAAAAGTAAGGGTTTTTTGATCCATTTCAGCTAATCCAAACAATGTTTTCATGCACTTTCTTGGAAGTTAATGGAACCATTCCAGAGCAGAATTTCGCCAATGCTCTGTGGACATTCATTGCATATAAACAAGATTATGTACCTATATTTTTACAGCATTATACAGAAAACACTTGAAAACTAATTCTTTTAATAATTCATTAGTACTAATTAATATATTGTGAGGTAGAACTTGGGCTAATTATTTTTCCAAGAATTTTGTATAAAGCAGTAAATTCAACTCTAACAAAATTGCCTGGTCATAGTATTTTGATGTAGGCATAGGACTATAAATGAAAAATATGTGTTTGTCAGAATTTTAACAATGAAATCTGTTTTAAATAATGTCTTCCTACTAAAACACATTTCTTTCATTTCACAGGCCCTATTCACTTAATTAATTTAAGCTCCCTTCTTAATTTTATGTGTAGACATTACGCACTATGAAAAAATGTTTGCTGCCTTTCTGTTTTAATCACATAAAACCTGTAAGAACAGGTTTGAATCTTTTGCAGTGGGAATATCTTTTTCAGTGGGAGTATCGTCAGTACCTTGGCAAAAAGCTCAGAAGGCCATTTTCTCAAAACTCTTCCTTTTTTCATTTACCTTCTCTTGGTGTGTTTAAGGACATGGTTTATGGGAATTACTAAGGCACTACCATTGTCATCAAAAAGCTTATTGAAGAGTTCATTCATTTGTAATGTTGCCCAGTATAGGTGAAATGGAATGAAAAAGATTCATGAATGTATTGTTAAAGGCCTTCTCTGATCAAATGAGTGGTTTGATGTACTGCACCACTTTTTTTCAGTTGCTTTTTTTCTACAGCAATGTCTAAGCTGTGGTCAGACCATACCAAGTGTCCAAGTGTCCACAGCATAACAAGTCAGTCCAGTGAAGGGACACAAAAAATAACTGTCCATAAAGAAAGAAAATCTAGTGTGTTACCAAAATGAAATGTAGAGGGCTTTTGAGGTTGCCTCCCTGCCACTTGCAAGCACCTCCCCAGAGCCAGAACGACAGGGAACGTGGCTGACCCTTGCTGCTGCTTCTCAATGCTCACAGGAGCAGCAAATGTAGCAGGTTTCTAAGCACACAACTTTTAATAAGTGTCTGAATGCCTTTGTAAGGAGTTTTGTGGAGGAAAATCTCAAAAACCTGCTGAGATGTAGTGTAGACAAGTTAGTAGGTCCCTCTTGGTCAGCTTTCTGTGCTGCTAGATCAAGATTCTTCATTGTTGAATTTGTGCTCTGTCCTTTGTTGTGAGATAGTACCAAACAACACGCCAGTCAATAAGTTTCTTGTTAACAAAAATAATAAAAAACATCTGGAAAATTCATGAGCTGCTTGCTGGCTGTGCTTCACAGAGGGAATAAAACACGCTTCTCAATTTTGCATTTGCCAGCTGTTACTAGGAAATGAGATCAGAAATATTGGACAGAAATTAGTTGTAATGTGTGATAAAGAAAAAGAACTTTAAAGCTGATTAGAGTTAGTGTTTAATTTCTTAGAGTCTGGAAGTATTCAGAGAGGTGGAGATCTGTCATATATTTTTTGTAGTGATAATGAAATTACTGTATCTATAGTTTGCTGATAATTTTAGACTCGGGATACCCTTATGGCAATAGCATGGGCCAGGAATGTAATTGCCTAAAAGTTTAAGCAGTATGACCAGCTTAGAAAATATAAGAGACTGATTAAAGGTCTAATACCATCTTGGAAGCAAATTACACAACTTATTAAAAAGGACAAGAGGATCCACATCTAAGTTTGCAGAGAACACTTTTTTCTATTAGGAGAAGAATAATTTTAATTTTTAGAGTCCAACTCTAGCTGCCAAAGTCACAAGCATTCAGAGAACTATTGTTCAACTTTATGAAAACATTAGAGTATTAGGGGTTCACTTTTATCCTGTGTCAGAATAGAATTGAAACATATGAGGGAGACAATGGGGAAAGCCATGAGTTTTGCTTCTCAAAATACTAAAGTTAGCCATAATTCAGATGATTGTCATGCTTATAGTCTGTGTGATAATTTTCATTATAAACACTCTTTAACTGCTTCAGCATGGACTTTCTGGAATATGATTTTTACATTGTTTAAGTTGTAGTCTTTATACATTGCTGTTAAGTATCCATCAAGCATTTTTGGCCTAATGGCTGGGGTTTTTTTGTTCTTTAGGCTCTACCTCTAGTGTGTATGATAACCAAGGACCACACAAGGGACATGATGAATCCACGACTTCCCCTGGAGGGACTGCCAGAACAAAACCAGATCAAGAACCAAGGTTGCCTGGTGTACCAGGTGGGTTTTGGAAGTCAAATGTTTTAAAAATCCAAGGTCAGAATTGTCTTCATATGAACTGAAGTAAGAGATGAAAATGAAGGTCAAATGCTTTGCTCAGGCTTTGTTCTGAATTAGATCATATTCAGCATTTCACAAGTAGTCTGTGAAATATATATTGTAACTCATATAGTCTCTCAGCAATATTAAGATAAGAGAAACCATGCATTTGGGGAGTGGGATTGAGATTCAATTAACTTTTATAAACTGAAATTAAATCAAGCAAAACTTGGTAAAGTTACATGCATAGCCTCATATCCATGAGAATGTTCAGCTAAGACAAGCTCTCCAGGAGAGAGTGTGCAGACTAAAACAGAATAAAAAGAAGCCAACACCATGATACAACTGCAAAAGAATGCAAATATATTCTGGGACTTATTAGTGGTAAAGTCATTTTTAAAACAGAGAAAGTTATTATCCCACTGTACTTAGGCCTAGCAAGTCCAGAGGTGAAACTGTGTTCAGTTCAAGGCATTGCATTAGTCACAGGAAGGCATTGCATTAGTCACAGGAAAAAAATGGACAAGAGCACACAGAAAATTTTGGGAAGGTAACCTTTGAAGCACCTTTTGAAGAACTCATCATTTGCAGGGAAAACTGAAGGGAGATATAAGAAAAGCATGCTACAAAAAGAATGCCTATCAGGTTTTCACCATGGAGTACTAATAATTAACTAATTAGAAGAGGTAATTTGTTGCAAATTAAATGTATGAGTCTTGTTAAACTAGGAATGTTTGTTTCAAACAAAGAAAATACAGGACATAGCTCTTGGGAGAGGACCCCCATCTGTAATGGTAGCAGAGCTATAATGGTAGTAGAAAGTAGGCTACTGGGAAGGTTGTGAAACCTGATTTACTAAAAATGTGCTAAAACTCATCCTGCTTCTGTGCCTGAGACTGTAGGTGTGTCATGCTGAGCTTTTTCTTTTGCCATTGGAGTAAATCAGTGAAACAGCTCCTCTTCACCTGTGCCCACTAAAGTGCTTGCAGGTGACAGCAGTGATGGGGTATTTAATGTGAGCTGGCCTGTCTATAGCTGAGTGATGAAAATGTGTTGGATTTGCATGGAAAGATTTTGTAAACCAAACAAACATTCGTGGAAGCTAGGAAAAGAGTGTGACAGCTTATGGGAAGTAGAAGAGATTGTGTTTCTGCAGTTCTGTGAGATGGCAAAACCACATGAGATACATTCACACTCTTTCTCGCCCTCCCTCATCTCTCCCTGCAGAATGGCTGATCATTGTTGTTGCTCTGGTGGTGCTTGCATTGATCCTGGCAGTGTGCATTGCTGTCAACAGTCGCAGAAGGTAAGGCCACCCCTTTACATTTCCAAAACACACTGCCTCACTTGTCTCTTCCTTTGGAGAGTCTCCAAAGCCTTCTCAAAAAGCAGAGTAGCAAACCACAGGAAAGAGTATCCTCTGCAAAGCTCTGTGGCTTGTGGTGTGGGGACCCAGGTCACCATGTCCTGCACAGGTCACACATCAGCCTTCACACTCACCTGGAACCACTCCCATGAAGTCAGCAGCTACACGAACTGTTTAGTCTGGGAAAGGGAAACTAACTGTACATAGATCACAGAAAAATGATTAGCCTCTGTCTATTAGTTATTAATGGGAAAATTGTGTTCACAGAGGGTGGAAGTTGTGAGATGAACACACAGTAACAACCACAGGATGAGCCAGGAATAATCCTCCACCATTAAAGCATTGTGTGTGTGCAGTGTGAAGGGCTGTCCTAGACAATCACAGCCATTCTGTGAAAACCTGCTACTCTGTTTCTTCTGAACAAGAGCCACTATCACAGCTGGCAGTCACAAGCATATATGCTAGCATTGCTCTCTGAGCTCTCAGGAGCTTTATGTACTCCATTTTACAGATGAGGAAGCTGAGGAGTGCAAAGTAATGCAATGATCTGTGCAAAGTTAGCTGGGAAATTGCAAAAACCCTAGCCTAAAGGATGGGCTATAATATTCTTACCTCTTTCTTTTCTCTGGGGCCTGTTCTGAGGTTACTTGCCAATTGTCTTCAACAGCGTTTTGCTACTTGAATGTTAGAATTGAGCTTTTTAACAGAGTAACTATTTGCTACTTGAATGTTGGATTTTAACTCCTTTTTCATCAGAATGACCATATAACACGTGGAGATTTTTGTGCAGTGAGCACATTTTTTCCTAGTCTGTTGGTTGCAGAGCACTCTGAGCTGCTCTTTGAAGAGGCTGTGGAGCTCCATAGCTCCTTGCTGGTGTCTTTTGGCATTTTATGACTGCAGAGCAGGAAATCATTCCCAAGGGTGTGTGTAGCATTAGCAGAGTGAACTGAGCTACTTCAGATAAAATAACCCTCATCTATGAGTCAGTAGACATGAAAAAAATGCTATTTCAAGAGCATCTTAGTAAAATTGAACAGCCAAATCAGTCCTTCAGGAGTAAATATGCTTCATTTAAGAAGAAAGGTCTTAGAAGTCCAACTTCACAGACACACTGTCCCTCCTAGGCATGCTGGGCTCTGCATATTCACTTTGCACAAGGCTGTTTGAGGACAAGTGGGATGTCCAGCACTGTGTAGCCAGGGAGTCATCTAAACAGTAAATCTGACAGCTGTGTAAGTAGTGCTGTTTTACTATGCCGAAGGATACCCAGCCCACGATAACCAGTGTGCATCAGCTTTGGACTGGTGACTCTTTAAAAGACTGTTGGTGTGTTTTAATTCAGAGCTACATATAAGGTTTATTGGGCAGCCCTGCAGCGAGTGTATCTTGAAAATCACAGTACCTGTTTCCTACCTGAACCTCCCAAGGAGCTCTGCTGCAGACAGCAGCAAGAGTAATTATCCATATTTCCTTACTGTTGGTTGGCTTCTAAGCTTGGCCTACTAATACAAAAGAAAAAACGGTTGTCTTGTTCAATGAGGTGAGAGCTTGATCCAGATTTTCTGCTTGCATAAGAATTTGTGCATTTCAAAGCTGTGGTCCCAAGCCTGGATTTTGAAGGTGTCTTCATAGTAGGGCTATTTACAAAGTTCATAAATGTGGATAAATTCAAATGACATAAAAAAATTTCTAGCCTTCAGTAATAAATGTTATTGCTATATGTAGTAACAGTAAATATAAATTAGATAAGTGAGCTCCTACTAAATTTTATGCATATAATGGTGGATGCTTTCAAAAATAAAATATGCAGTATGGAGAAACTTTATGCTTTGTATGGTGTAAGTCTACACTGGCAGACACAATTTTAATTTCCAATCACCTTTTCCTAAATACTGACCTTCAGTTTTTTATTTTTTTTTTATACTCTATTTATAATATTTAATTTTCATTTCTTTCTAGATGTGGGCAGAAGAAAAAGCTAGTGATTAACAATGGCAAAGGAGCAGTGGAGGACAGGAAGACAAGTGAATTAAATGGAGATATCAGCAAATCACAAGAAATGGTGCACTTGGTTCATAAAGAACAGTCAAATGACCGAACACAAGCATGTGATGAATTCCTGACTGTTAATGAAACACAAAATCATCACGAGTTTGACATGAAGACTGGAGTGTAATGGTACCACACTGCCAAGCAGATCAGGGCTGGGGAAACCAAAATCATGTGGAACTTGAACAGGAATTCACAGATGCACTGTGCTACTGATGTCTTTTGAACAAAAGCATAAGTTCTGTTTCTTTTTAATCACTTTGTAATGACGCCTGAGTTTAAAAATTGACATGTGCTTTCTGAAATACACCCCCAAGAGTTGCATAATGCTTTCAGTTCCCAGTCCCTTCATGGAGGACTCTCACTGTGTCCTGGATGTTAGGAGGCATGCGAGTTTACATCATTATTCCCCAAATGGAAGGTCTTCACTGTGTGAAGCTAAAGAATTATCCAGTCACTCCATCTTACAGATATTTAAAGTATAAAACTTGCCATGGTAGAGAAATAAGTGAGGAAAAATGTCAAGAGTAAAAAAATCAAGTTTAAACCCAAAATGCATCTTTTACAATGTCTGCAACAGCAGAATCTTTCAGAAATGCCTTCCAGCCAGGAATAGCTGTGGGTACATTCAGAATCTGCCAGTATAAACAAAAAGTGACATTTTATAATCATGTGTGGCTTGGTCTGCAACGAAGGAAACCCGGAAGGACAAAATTTATTTATCTCTATTTTTAAATATCTATGGACATACAGCAAATCTTCTCGGGAGGGGTAATAAAGGCATAAAAATATGAGCTGAAATATAATAAAATTCTATTCTTTATTATCCTAGCAACCTGTACACTTATCCTTCAGTTTTTGAGGTGTTCACTGCTCTTCTCCCCACCTCATTCATTGGTCCAAGTTTGTGCATGTGTTTAATGAGCCTGTTAGTTAAGATAATGAATAAAACAAAATGACCCCAGCTCTATCACATATGCACAAATCAGGCAATTGAGATCACTAGGGAAGCTGACAGTATTTTATTCCTGAAAATAGGTCTCTGTATTCTGCTCCATTTTGGTAAGGAGATGCTGAGCCTATTAGTTTTTTTCCTCTGTAACTATTACATTACACAAGATTGCTTATCTTTTAAAAGCTGCTTTTCTATGATCTCGCTCATTTCCTCTGAATTCTATTTCATCTACATTTTTTCCATCAGCTTTTTAAAAACACCAAAAAGAAACATTGCTTGCTTTTTGGTACCAGAAGTTCAATTTCTACAGAAAAGATCAAAGCAAAGGAAAGGAAACTCTTCCCAGCCATGTAATATAGTAGAGTAGTTGAGCTGCATTGTTACATGCTTTCATTATGTCCTTTTGTGTCTGTAAAGTATTTGTATTAAGCTATGATGCTGTGCATTATATTGATAAGAATTTTCAGGAAAACAATTATTTACTACCAGTGGTCTGTGCCATTTTTAAGAAAGCTTATTGGAATGGAGGGAGAATTGTAACTTCCAATTGGACTCCCCCCAGGAAATGCAGGGAAAAATGCTGGTCTGTGCCAGCTGTGGGATGTGGATGGTCTGTAGCAGGGCTGTTCAGGAGTTCTGTTCACTGACCATAGCCCCCGTCTTTGAAACTGTTCTGCTAAAGTGTGTTATATTATGTTCTCCATCTGAAGCAGTTTGGAGGGTGAATATTCAGCTGGCTAAATACTGACTTCAGCTAGCGCTGGTCTTTACTGGAACATAAAGCACAAGACTGTTGATTATATTTCTGACTGTTGATTATATTTTCTGTTGATATATAGCCCTCCAGCAGTTTCCCATGTGCTTCATGGAAATGCTCAAGTGCCCTGGTATCTGCTGGCAGATCTGCTCAGGGCAATTCACATCTGGGCAAAAAGTCCCAAGAGAAGGTGATGTTTTAAAATACACATAAGATGTTTTTTGGCTTTATGCAGGCCAGATATTTCATCTGTGAACAATCCATTGATTCTTGTTTAATGTTTTTAAGCACACTTTTCTATTTGTCATTAGAAATCAAAGTGATCTGCTGAAGGCTATGTTTAAACTGCTGTTAGGTACTCATTCCACTAAGTATGGAGATCCAGAGTAAGAATTAAAAATCTTTAAATCCTAACTGAATACAGGTCTCAGTGAGAAGGACGTATTTCACTGTCTTGGAGGCTAAACTTCTCTTAAAAAAACCAAATAGTCGGTAGCACGTTATTCATCTCCCTGTTCAGATGTTAAATGAAGAAATCCACAAACTTCTTGGTAATTTATCTTATAGTCAGTAGCTATAAAAGCACATGCAACACTGGTTGGGTTCTTTGTATATTTTTAAAGGAGAGATGCTCAAGAGGCAATGCCATTATTTTATATATGCTGATTCTTTTTAGGTTATGTCCTGTGACGTGTTATTGTTTCATTATAGTTTCAAAATTAGACAGCCATTTCATATGTATAAAACAGTACATATTTTTATTAATCTTGCTTTTATTATGAGGAGTTGTTTGTTGTGTGTATGTATTTTTATATAGAGCACTTGATATATTTGCATATTTATTTAACAGATTAATCAGAATTAAAGAAAATGCCATCTCTAAATTGTAACTAGAAATAGTATTGCTGAAAACACATCGGACTTTAAAATAAGCTTCCAAAATAAACCTGATTCCACGCTGAGGATGAAATGTATGTCCAGCTGTTAGTGGGAGAGAAGCCTTCAGCTGGATAGTCATGTTGAGTGCTGTGATCATTTTTTCTGCTTGCAAATTCCAAGCCGGGCTGAGGTGAATGCTGTGTGGCCTTGTCTGCTCTGCTGGCCTCCCCCAGGCTCCACGGGTGCTCTGGGAGTTAGTGATGAGCTCAGCTTTAGCCCAGAAGCAGAAAACAGCTACAGCAACTTGGTTCGGCTAAAGATCAGCCCAGTAAGATCTTGGTGACCATGCCTGGCTCGCTGAACCAACACTTGAAGAGTGCAGCACCCCGCAAGACCCAGGTGATGACAGACAAATCAGCTGTGACTGACAAATCTCTGTGTCTTGGTCTGTCCCTGCTTGGTGCCCAGGAAGAATGAGGATCTCCCCTAAAAATGCTAAGGAGCTGTGATCGGCTTCTGTTATTCCTTTGTCTTGAAAAGCTTCACGTAAATGTGATCCAGACCAGTGGAATACTGTCTAAAGCAGCAAGCATATTTAAGAGAGTCTCTGTATGTTTTATGGGAATGTAATGTTTTCATGAAGCAATGCAGGCTGATTGTTTCATCTGTATTTTCTTGAAGTTCTGAAAAGGAATATTTGATTAAAGCAGAGAAAGGATGTGCAGCTGTCATGTCTACCTTTGTGGATGTGAAACCCTTTCCACAATACAGTTCCAAAGTTGTAATTTTGTGGTTTTTCATAGGATAGGGATGGTTTTTGTGTGTCCCTTGTCAATAACATCAGCCTCTGTACTAATTAGTTTGAAGCATTTTGCCTGGAATATTTTTAGGAGACAACTGCCAAGTGTCTCTTTAGCACATATCATTCTGGTTAGGGCTGATCCTAATTATTCTTTCTGTAGATGAAGGAAATAAATCCTCTGACAACTGTGTTCTGCCTCCACATACAAAGACCCCAGGGTATTTTGTAAGCCAGCAGTTAATGGGTTTATTCTAAGCTATATTAGGCCATTAGACAATAATTATTTCTTAAGCTTTATTAAACATTTCAAGGGTCTAATGCCTCTGAGTCTCTGCAAGAGCTGTGATTGGTAAAAACCTGCCCTTTTGGTAACCACAGGCTCTGACTACTTCTTCTCTGTGCAGGGGAAAAGGACAAAAGGTGCAGGAAAAGGGCTGTTCCCTGGGGTATGGTTCCAGCTCTGTGGGAGTGAGTGACAAAATTCCTGTTCCTTAAGGGTGGAAAAAATTGTGCAAAGGTGTTTTGGGCATGAATCTGGGGGGTTCAGGATGGAGGGAGAGCACAATTTCTGGGAAAGGGTGTAAAGGGAGAGTGAAATTTCTGTACTGCAACTGGGAAAGTACCTTCAACACCCCCAGCACTCTGGCACTTGAATATTTCACAACTCTGAGTAGGAAAAAAGAGCCTTTTCCTGTGAACATCCCCCACCTCCAAGTCATCCTCTACATCTGCCACCTCATTTGCAAACTGATTTTGAATTTTCCCCTGGTAGCCTATTTCTCACTGTTGCTATGCCCTATGCCCTGCTGCATGGCATCCCCATGCTGGGGGCAAGCAGCTGTGGCAATGAGGAGAGACAAATTTTGGCAAGATGAGTAACAGTGTGTTCTGTTAGTGTGTTTTGTCGTCTCTTTCTCACCCCTTTGGAGTAAGGTTAGTAAAGGCAAGATTTCAAAAACATTTTTGTGAGGGACTGATTTGATTTTTATTTATGCCTTAACATGTATTACACATGAGGTGAAAAATTACTGGAGGGACTGGGCAGGTGCTGAGAGCTCTGACACATGCCAGGATGCCTGAGAAAATTGCCTGGGAAATGGAGCTGTGGGAGCAGCCTGGGCAGATAAAAGCTGTTATTCTCTCCATCCCCCTTTTTCTTTCTCTGGTCTCTTTTCTGTCCCACTCTGGTCAGAACCATATCCTTTATCAATAAATGGTTCTTGGGTATTTGCTGCTTTTGGGCATTATTTTCACCCAAGAAATCTATCAAAAGGAATCCCCCCGACTCCTCTTACAGTGGGATGGGACAATTCTGCTCCTTGCTTATCTTCCTGTTCTGAAAGTGCAGGACTGATACAGATCTTCACATTGGCCAAGTGAGCTGCTGCATAGGGGTGTTTAAAAGTTAAACGTCTAGAATTGAATCCACCATCAAAGCAGCTCTCCTGACCTCAAGGCAGTTGATTATTGTCAAAGTGAAGGTAAAGCAGGGGCAGTGAAAGCTTTAGCTATGCTTGAAACACAGCCTTTCAATTTTGTCTGAGTGGTTCCAGCAACCAATAGAAAGATTTTGTCTGAGTGGCAACTTCAAGGAGTCTCAGACTTTTTATTTTAAAAGTTTTATTGAAAGGAATTTATTTATTCCTACTCTACAGGAAAAAGTGTTTTGGATGAAAAAGTGCCACAAAAAGGTGTACTCTGAACACTGATGTGAATGTCTTTAGTTTTTCTTTAAAAGAAAATTTCAAAAATTATGAAGTTTTGGATCAAACCAAGTCCACAAAATATGTCAAAAAGAAGATTACTTTTTTCCTCAGAAACAGATGTAGTTTCAGCTAGTTGAATTATTCCAAATAGAAGATACAGCTGTATAAATATCCTTTTTTGTTTGTTTGTTTGTTTATTTTGGGGATTTTTTGTTTGTTTTTCCTTTTTTGTTTGGGTTTTTGGGGTTTGTATTTTGGTATTATTTGGGTTGGTTGGGTTTGGGGTTTTGGGGGTTTTTTTGTGGATTTTCTTTTGTGTGGGGGAAGATTCTCCACGTCTAATACATAGTATAGCTTTCCCTTTGTACTAAAATGAAATTCTTAGAAGTAATTTACGGTCTCACTGGAAAAAAAGATATGCAAAAAAACCCCAGAATTGTTCAAGTCTAAAATGTCATAAATTTAAGTGCATTTCCCAGAAAAATCTCCAGCTTTTTTTTTTTTTTTTTTTGAAAATCAAGTGAAAGTCTCCCTCAAACACCCACTTAGACTTAAGGTGAGCAGGTGCCCTTTCTGCAGGTGCCAAAGCTGAGGCCCAGCTGAGATTAGGGGCACATAGGCTGGCAGTGGTAAATCAGCACATGGCTCAGAGGCAGTGGAGACTCTGCATATCCAGAAACTTTCAGGTCTGCTGAGTTTGTCCTGAAGTCCTTGTAACTCTCAGAGCAGCCCCGGGCAGAGGAAGATGCAATAAGGCATTTTCTGCTCCTCTGAAGGGTCTAAATTTTGTACCTGGCATCTGAAAGCCTTGCCTTGGGCAGCTGTGGTAGGATGGAGTCTGCTTTAACACCCCTATTGCCAGTCTCATGGGGAAGTGTATAAATTGTTTGGTACTGTTTGGTACCAAATGGCCTTGGTACAGCTGAGTTTTAGCTTTGATTCTAAATTTACTTCTAGTCATGATGTGTACATCATCTAGCTTCTGGCAGGGCAGAAGTCTTTTCTTTTCTGAATAAATCTAAAAAATACCCCATAGATCATTTTCAGTGACCACATTTTACCTTGCATGAATTGAGACTCCACACGTCCATGTTTCTCATAAGAAACAGTAATAAACTGCTCTGCCCCATGATGGGGTTGAAGTCTGAGTTTATATCTGTATTATTTATATTTATATTTATATTTGGATTTAGATTTAGATTTTATCAAAGTAATTTTTTTTTAAAAGCAAGCTTCCTGTTCAGGGCTGCTGCTGCAGATTGCTAGCAGCACCTTACCAGAGCTAGCTTAGGGAGAGTTTCCTGCAGCTGGGTTTATCTAAGGTGAGTCCATGGCAGCTGAGCCCCACACACAGTGATCTCAGCTGACAACTGCAGACCAAGGGAGAGAAGAATGCCCTGCACATGCTGTGGACTACAGCCATCAGTGATACAATCCTCAGAGCAAATGTTGGGCTCCTTTTACTTTTTGGATCCACAAATTAACCTCTGTTTTGGCTTTGTTCAAACATTGCCTGTCTATCTGGAACCTAGTGTGCAAGTACATGGAGTTTGTCTTCCTGTAAAACTGTTTCACAAGCATCTCCTCAGTTCAGCAGGTTTTGTTTTCCAGCAGTAGGTCTTCAGATTCACTAGCTTTATAGTTCTTGGGTACTTC